ACTACTCGCCCAGACCAGCCCGCTACTTACAAGACTATTTACCCACGGATATCAAACGGACCCATTCTTCACAGGAGGAAATTCACAGCAATTCGCAGCAGCCAAGGGAGTCTATTACGTAAAAGCTGGGACCGACCGCATCTGGATACCAGGGTACACACTGCTACGGAAATTACTATTACAGGAGGCACACGACGGGGTTACCTCGGGACATTTCGGGGTAGAAAAAATACGGCAGGAGCTGCAGCGGTATTATTACTGGCCCGAAATGTTGACCAACGTGCAGCGACACGTGGCATCGTGTCCCAATTGCCAGATCATGAAGTCAACACGGAAGCGGCCGGCGGGACTGTTGCAGCCAATCCCTTTTCCAGAGCGTGCTTAGCAGCAGGTAACGATGGACTTCGTCACGGGGTTACCGGGCGGGGCGAGTGGGAATGACGCGATCCTGGTCGTCGTCGATCGACTGACGAAAATGGCACACTTCGCAGCCTACAAAAAATCAATCACAGCCGAAGAAACAGCCCGCCTCTTCATCTCTACCGTCGTTCGACTGCACGGGATACCAGCATCAATCATCAGCGACAGAGACACGAAATTGACCAGCAACTTCTGGCGGAACCTGTGGCAGCAGTTCGGTACGCGACTACAGTTTAGTTTATCGTACCACCCTGAAACAGACGGACAGACAGAACGGACAAATCAGACCATGGAACAGCTCATCCGGGCCACTCGCGACAACCCAAACGCGTGGGAACAGCAACTGCCACTCATTGAATTCGCATACAACAACGCCCCATCCGCCACGACCCAACAATCACTGTTTTACCTGAACTACGGACAAGACCCAACAACACCCATGACCTCGAATCCCGAGAACCCGGTTCCACGCGCGCAATAGTTCGCCGAAATTTTGCAAGCAGCACGGACCAGGGCAGCACATGCAATTACAAAAGCTAACATCATCACTAAACGCAACGCCAACCGCCACCGCAGACCTATCACTTACCAGCCTGACGGCTTAGTTTTGCTCGACACCCAAAATCTCTGACTGCCCATCACCCCGAAACTCCGCCCCCGATACTGCGGGCCATTTCGCTTAAGCCACATGCTTACACCTGTCACCGCCCACCTCCTCCTCCCTGCTGACTGGTACGTCAGCCCCTCGTTCCACGTCAGCCTACTTCGCCCTTACGTCCCGTCCACGAGCCAACTGCCACGCAATCGCCCAGCCAGGATGACAAGACCGCCGACTTAACCAATCATCACCCCCGAGAAAATCCAGAGTCACAGAGTTCGCGACCCTCGAGGAGCCCGAAGGATCGAGCTCTTACTCCGCTGGAAGGACCGTACACCCACCGAAGACAATTGGGTTCCCCTGGACAGAATCGAAAACCACCCCTGTCAGAATCCCAACCACTAGACCATTGGGATAAAAGGGCTTGTTTGTGTAGCGGGTAAGTGCGCCCATAACCCCCCAGGCCAACGTGCTCGTAACCCTTCCCTAGGATCAATCGGGGATCATCAGTGGACCTTTGACACCCCCCCGCACTGGGATGTCCGAAGTGCACACACCGGGATTCGAACCCGAGACCTTCGCTCTGATACCATGAGAAAACTGAAACGAGGATGAATGAACTATGAATAAAGTGGGTACAAGTACCAACCCTAATTGGGTTGTACCCTCTATGGGATACCCCACTACAGCCTACACAAAAGCATAAGCTATAATGTTTTGACAACCCCGTCCTCACCGAGTATCTGCGCAGCCGAAATTTCAGGGATATACACGCACTTTCGTAAGGAGGACCTCCTTAAAGGGGGGGGTAGTGTAAGGAAAACCTCTTTTTCCTTACTTCGCATCCCTGCTCAACGCGTACATCACTGTAGCACCACAGTCAGCACCGTTACCACTCGCAGTCCTCGCATCGACAATCTGTCCGCCACCTTCGCACGTCGCACCCCGACCTCATGGCTCGGCGGGTAACTCGCGCCACGGGCCTCCGCTTCGATACTTTTCTGAACCTCAGTCCTGGGCCCGTCGCGCGACAACCACAGTCCATTACCGTTACCACTGTAGTTTCGCTATATATTCTTCGCTCATGCCTTTGCTCATTGTACTCTTGCTTGGATAGTGCAATTCTCGTTCGTTCACTCAATTGCACTCGTAACACGTGCATTTCCGTTACTCATTCGTCCGTCACTACTCCACCAGTTCGCACCGCATCGCAAGCGGTGGTAAAAGCTCTTTCGCTAAAAGCATATGAATTTGCAGTAACTCGTTAATCAGCAAATTGCAACAGAAGTGATGTTCATGGTATCGTATACTAGAAACAAGTGTTATACAGTCCATGAGCCAGGCAGCAGAATTGATGAAATAAGATGCCTCATTTCAAAGACCAACTAATATAAAATGTTTCGCTAATTTTCATGGTTCGGTCAGTGGCAGAGTTATAAATTTGGTTTGCTTGTTCTAGTAAAGTCTAGTATATTTCGTGTTCATAACTCTACTAATAGACAGGCTTATAATAGCTGTTGTGTGTTCTCGAAAGACCAACAATCGCGTATGATGGTGCAGAAATGACAAGCAAGTTCCAAGCTTCCGCACTGAGCGAACTGTCTGTCACTGCCTGTCGAACTGTCTAGTCACTCAGAATTTCCCGACGAAGACTGCACTTTATTTAGTGGTAGTCTGCCCCAATGTTAGACGTCATGATGGCGCTCTTCTTGGTTCCACCGAATGTGCGGGAACCTTTGCGTGATTTATCAGCTCTTTCACTGTCATCCGATTTACGCGATTCGATTCTGGACTCGCTCGGATTGGATGTTCGCAAGATCAATGGCGCATCGTGGCGCTCTTGGCGCCGTCTGGGCTACCCATTCTTCGTCCGCCTGAATTCCGCACGCTAGATAGTCACACCGTTCGCTGAAATCATATGCAAGCTTTTCCTTTTTCCAAAGAGTGAATCACTTCGAACCCTCAAATTTTATTCACAGCGACATGGCCGTCCCGCGTGCCCTCCTTGTATCAGTCGTTTGCCTCTTTGGAGCCGCCGCTACCACTGCTGCAGGTCCATCCATTTCGTCGGGAACCGTCGCTCCGCGTCGTAACCTTACAGAACTTCGCGGGTCTCGTCGGGCCTTGGAGCAAATCATACCCCTTCCCAACCCCGTGGCTGCAGCTCTCGGCGCAGCGGCAGGAGCCAAGCTCAAAGCAGTCCTTCTAGAAGCTGCCACGATAGCAAGCTTCGTTTCTCAACTTCCTGGCGGACACTTTTCCAAGGGGGCTTCTAAAGTTTGCGAGGATTTCGGCGCGCTGCCCGCCTGCGATTTCTATTTTGACCTGCTGGGTCCTCTCGGTCTGCCCTCTCTTCGCCTCCCTTTCGTCTCTCAACTTGTGCTGCTGGATTCCCAGCGCAACGGGGACCGCCCCGTGAGCTTGAATATCGCCACCAGCGTTTCGCCCAGCGTTGACGACATTGGCGAGGGCAAAACGAAGGCTGACGGTTACCACGTGGAGGTGGATGCGACTGGGAAAGCGGAGTACTGCAATTGCAAGGCAGGAGAGCTGGCAACGAGCGTGGCACACGCAGATGATCAATTCTATGCAACTGGAGAGGTGAGCTAAAAAACCTACAAAATAGGCAAAGCAGCTTTTTTCGCAGAATGCTTCGAACAATGCTCTTTACCTGCTCCCGCTCGCCCCGTAATCATCCATCCCCCCATCTCACCATCTTTCCTTCCCATCGCCCATCCCATTCCTTTGCGCCCTCTACAGCCAGCAAGGGTCTACGCTCGGACTTTTCAGAAGAACCTTCCAACAGAAGCATTTCAGGGTTGTTGTGTGCGCCTGCCACTGGCCAGCGTTCAGCTGAAGGCTCCTAATGGTGGTGTCATCAATCTGAACAAGGGGGACAGAAACAATCTCTTCCCTGAAGAGCGCCGCTGTCTTCTCTTCCACGTACTTGTATTGTAGACTTATCAGAAATGGGAAGTAGGTACCTTAGTTATTGGGGTTGTGCGCCATTTTCGATTTTGTCAAAATTGGAATTCTCAGTTTCACTCGTTGAAGATAAAACATTGTAAAGCAATCTGCAGCCTTGGTTTCTGTAGATTGAAATGATTCCTGCAATTGTTTCCGTTCTGGATTCAATGATACTGCGAACCGTTGTGTTCAAAAGGAATCGACTTTAAACGAGTGCCAACAGATGTGGTGCACCACGAATAAAATCTGTCGAAACCGCCACGTCCGTACCAATTGAAGCACACGGTGTGAGGCTTTTCCTATTTCCAAGGGACGACTGCCACATCACCAGCCTACCCTCTTTCGTGGGAGCGTCCTGCGTTGCCGCAGCGTCCATCTCACAAAGCGCCAGAACAACGTCACTGCTGCAAGCAAATGCATTTTATGACACACCATATCTTGGTGCGCGAATTGTCCACACAGTTGGTGGGTTCACTTTTGCGCCTCCCGTTGACTCCCGATCAGGCGAGGAGCCAGACTACCATCCAATTAATGGCTCAAAAGTTTCCAAGTAGCTCAGTAAAATCCGGGAAGGCTTGGCCCACATGACAGTTGCGAATCTCCTGCTGACAGCAATGCACATCCCGGTCGCTCTCGGCACGAATGCAACCAGACTCCAGACCAGACGCGCTTCCCAGACGAGAACCCGCGCCAAATCCCCGCGAGCTTGCTCACCTCATGATTCTACCGAACCTACACACTGATCTCGATTGCGGCACGAGGGAAAGGGGATCACGAAAAAACGGGGGTGGGGGAATGGGAGAAAGATTTTCCAGTCGAGTTGCCCGAGGGTATGAAATTGTATGTGCAGTGGTGCAGCAGCTTACGGCAGCAGTGCACCGCAGAACCCGTACTGAATCTTGTCCTGCCGAACCGGACATGGGGCGCACCCACAGAATCTGTGATGCCTCTCTCTTTCCGAGGCTTCTCCTTGCTGGAAGCGCAAACAGACACCATGTCACCTGCCGAGCCAACGATGTCCAACCAAACAATCGAATCCATATCTCTCTCTCTCTCTCTCTCTCTCTCTCTCTCTCTCTCTCTCTCTCTCTCTCTCTCTCTCTCTCTCTCTCTCTCTCTCTCTCTCTCTCTCTCTCTCTCTCTCTCTCTCTCTCTCTCTCTCTCTCTCTCTCTCTCTCTCTCTCTCTCTCTCTCTCTCTCTCTCTCTCTCTCTCTCTCTCTCTCTCTCTCTCTCTCTCTCTCTCTCTCTCTCTCTCTCTCTCTCTCTCTCTCTCTCTCTCTCTCTCTCTCTCTCTCTCTCTCTCTCTCTCTCTCTCTCTCTCTCTCTCTCTCTCTCTCTCTCTCTCTCTCTCTCTCTCTCTCTCTCTCTCTCTCTCTCTCTCTCTCTCTCTCTCTCTCTCTCTCTCTCTCTCTCTCTCTCTCTCTCTCTCTCTCTCTCTCTCTCTCTCTCTCTCTCTCTCTCTCCGGCCAATATCATAGACACTCAAAGTATTCCTGAGCAGGCTCTCAGGTGTAATCACCAACAGATGTAGTAGGGTTTTCCTGATGTTTCTGAATACAGCCACTACAGAAAATGCAGCACCTGAAAAAAGAAAAAAAAAGAACTTGTAGCGAACCTAGATGAATTCCGAGACAGATCAGCCCTAACTACGGGAAGCCGCCCACTTCAGGAGAAATATATTGCACCCTCTTGACCCAAAAGAAAAACCCAATCGGAAAGGGATGCGATTCGGGAGGCATCAGCCCTAAAAACAATGCCCTTTCCCGTGTCTAGGGTTGATCCCTCCCGAAAATGCGTCCAGATTTTATAGGGGTTTAGTTTTTTCTGCCCTGTCGTAAATTTACGTACATTAATTTAACAAATCCAAGTCGGGAGGGTAAACTAGATAGTTCTGGTTTTGTCACTTCCTAAAGATATTAGCCAGTGTAAGCAATGTGACTAAACAGCAACGACCAATCAACATTGAGAAAGTCCAGATCGATTGCACCTGAGATTCCGCTCGGAACTTATCTGAGTATGTATGAAGTTGGCCCCTCTCTCTCTCTCTCTCTCTCTCTCTCTCTCTCTCTCTCTCTCTCTCTCTCTCTCTCTCTCTCTCTCTCTCTCTCTCTCTCTCTCTCTCTCTCTCTCTCTCTCTCTCTCTCTCTCTCTCTCTCTCTCTCTCTCTCTCTCTCTCTGTCTCTCTGTCTCTCTCTCTCTCTCTCTCTCTCTCTCTCTCTCTCTCTCTCTCTCTCTCTCTCTCTCTCTCTCTCTCTCTCTCTCTCTCTCTCTCTCTCTCTCTCTCTCTCTCTCTCTCTCTCTCTCTCTCTCTCTCTCTCTCTCTCTCTCTCTCTCTCTCTCTCTCTCTCTCTCTCTCTCTCTCTCTCTCTCTCTCTCTCTCTCTCTCTCTCTCTCTCTCTCTCTCTCTCTCTCTCTCTCTCGCCGCCTCCCCTCCGCTCCGCACACTCGCCAAACCCAAACCCTCCGCAAGTGGTCTCGTCTTGATCAGCCTCGAATGCCCTCATTCTGGCGGCTGCCCTGATGAGTTCCCTCGAAACTCGGACCCCGCAGACCCTCCTCGGACACCGACCTCCGTATTCCCCCCACCCGTCATCATCCACCCCTCCTTATTCCCCCAATAGGTCGTGGCACGTGCTTTCTTGCGCTTCTCCTTTCCATCATCGGTCCACCCGTCCTCCTTCCGCTTCCTCACTCACCTCCTTCCCCCTCGCACCACTTCCCCTCCTCTACCCACACTTCATTCTTCCCCTATTCCCGGTGGCAAGAGGAGCTGAACTGCTCACCCCCCCCCCCAACTCCCCGCTTCCCCGCCACCCTTTTCCCCCTTCAGCCCCTCCCACACAATCTTGGGTGCTGAATTTTGGGAACTCCAACCAAACCAAACCCCACCCCACTGGGTCGCCTACTTCTAGTATTTAGACCCCCATCCATGCACTTTCTCACATGACTTGCTTATCCAAGTCCTCTCAATTCGGTGATCCCAAGATCACCCTCACAGCGTAGTTCCTCCCGTTCGACGTAGCGTTCTCTACCGTTTCATAGGTTCAGTTAGTTTACCCGGAGATGGATTTCCTCGTTTGTGATGCGAAGTCTAGGGAGGCGTGTATGTTGAAGGGAAGGCATTCCTGGTCCGATCCGCTTTATTCGGGAAGTTCCAGGAGCTCGTCGCACTCCTCGCCTCCAAGACGTGTAGATTCGTTTATACCGTTGAGTTACGCTCAGACTCACGATTCCATGGTCGGTAGTGTGCCGTTTCATGACCGGCATGTGTTCTTGTGTCATAAGGGCCCCGCTAATTGGCCTGAGAACCCGTTTTCGTTTGACTGGGACTGCATGCCGAGGAGACTTCGTGCTGGTATTAAAGCTCGCGAGGAGGAGATGCAAAGAAAGGTGAGCTACGCTACGTGTTATCCTCTATGTTTCCTCTCTCTTTCAGTTTCTTTATTGTTTGTATGTATTCAGGGTAGTGCTGATTACGTTACTTGCTAGCAAGCTTCCATCGCAGTTCTGCCGTGACTTATCCTGAATGTTTACTTATCTTGCTTCCTCTGCCGTAATGTACCCCCTTGTCTTTTGATGATTTCAGACTATGTTCACCGTCTGTGAAGGGAGGGACGTCCCCGGTTCCTATAATGGGGACATTCTGGTCTTCCCTGAAATGTTGATTTACAGGTTAGTGAAGCTTTTAAGGCCTTTTGCATTGTTATCGTTGTTAGAGTCTTCGTTCGTTATGGCTTATGAAATATATTTGTCTGCAGCTCCCAGAATGCCACCTCTTCTGTGTTATATTTGTTTGCATTTTTCGTCGAATGCTTCGTCACCTTCTATCTCCCTCGCGTTTGTCTTCGTCTGTCTTCTTGCATGCCGTATTTTCACACCTACAGGTCGTTGACTCGTTTCGATGTAGAGTGTTTCGTGGATGAGGCTCTCGTGCAGGAGCAGCCTCGCTTGCTCTGGCCGGAACCCCTTACCGGGTGCCATATCTTCGTGTGCTGCCATGTTACCCGAGACTCACTCTGCGGTGCGATCGGCCCTCAAGTTGTGGCGAAATTCCGCGAGGAGATAGAACGGCGAGGATTGATCGACGTGCACGTCTGGCCGTGCTGTCATCTGTCACGGAATGTCTCTATGGATGCTTGTGTTGGGAACGTGTCTGTATTCAAACGGAGCAAACCCTCGTGCAATAACTGTGGAAGGAGAAGGTCCGAGGATCGATTCCTGTCTGGCGCGAGAAGGCAGCAGCTTCCTCCGGAAGCCCTCGCTGCATTGGTAGCAGCTGCTTCCGCTGGGCAAACTGGAGAGGTTCGGGGCGATTGGTACGGCCAAGTCATGCCTGATGACGTGGCAGATGTCATGGAGCTCCACGTTATGGGTGATTCCGTGGTGGAGCGCCTTTGGCGGGGGAGAATGGGGCTCTGGCCGCAGCAGCAGGTCGAGGAGCAGGCTGATCGTCTCGGTTCAATGCGGTGTGTTTCCGCCGACCCTGAAGCCTCTTCCGAACGTATCCCCGGCTCGGCTTCCGGTTCAGCTCTTTCTGACGCTGGTTCGGAAGTCTGCTCCTGCGCTCCCGCTGCAGTCACGCGATCTTTCTCGGCTCAGTACATCTCTCCTCAGACTTCTCGCTCCAGCAGCGAGGCGTCAAAAGGATCGAATAACAGCCCTTGCGAGTTTTCCAAGTGCGGCGCTGGTGGCGTGGCTCACAGCCCGTCTTCCACGCTGGACGCCGTTAATCGGCTTCGCTCGGCGAGCTTCCACAGCTGCTCGTCGGCCTCCTATTCGTCGACATCAATCGCGTCCGCCGAACCCGCTGGTAACGACGTTCGCTGTGAGGTCAGCGGCGGCATGTCTCTTAGAACGGACTCATCTCTCTCCTGCGTCTCCGCGTCCCCCAGCTCTTCGACGCGGTGGGATAGTTACCTCTGCGGCTCACCTTCACAGCGATTCGGTTCTGCTTCTGAGAGTTCCGCTTCTCGCCCAGTGACGCAGGGACAGTTGCCGAAACTGCCCAGCTGTAACCGGGTAACCAGTTTCCACCAAAGCTTCGCGAAGCAAGAGGCGGAAACCGCTTCAGCTGGGTGGGCTAGCTGGCAGGGGGAGTCCTTTCTCGTGACGGGGCGTGGTGCCATTGCTGCTGCTGCTGTTGCTGCGGTGGCAGTAGCTGGTGTGTCTACAGTGGTGTACCTTTGCCAGAAGAGAGATTGAGATGTTTGTGAAGTTCTTTGTTGCTTGTTGCCTGATGTGTTGCGTCTACCTGTCCTTCTCGGGCAGAAGCAGCATGAAAGGCAAGTGACGCTGGTGGTTATGGTGGTGATCGGCAAGTGAGTTGGATGTGCGGCCAGCCAAATTGGCTGGCATATCTTACCAAGACACTTCTATCTTGTTGGTCCTGAAGGATTGGTGTGGAAGTCAGGTTCTCCTGAGGGTAGGCTTCTGGAGATCTGTTATTCTCTTGTAAATATGTCTAATTGTGTGGTTTGTTGTTCAGGTTGTTATCAGGAAATAAATCACAATAAAGGTACCCTGTAAGGAAATTCCCTTTTCCTTACTTCGCGTCCCTGCTCAACGCGTACGTCACTGTAGCACCTCAGTCAGCACCGTTACCACTCACGACCATCGCATCATTCATTATCCCGCCCTCTTCGCACATCGCATCCCGACCTCACGGCTCGGCTGGTAACCCGCGCTCCGGGCCTACGCTTCGACACTTTCCCAACCTCAGCCCCAGGCTCGTCGCGCGACAACCACAGTCCATTACCGTTACCACTATTGTTTCGCTATATAATCCTTCGCTCATGCCTTCGCTCATAGTACTTCTTTGCTTCGATAGTGCAATTCTCGTTCGTTCACTCAATTGCACTCGTAACACTTGGTAATCAGAGCCTACGATCTCATCTCGGACCGCATCCACACCTTCGCTTCCCACTATCTCAATTTTTGGGGGGGGTAGACGTCTCTCAGCGACACAGCACCGCCGCTCGTAGTGCTCTCTCGCAAGCACGCACGGCCACGACCGAGGCTCTCGCTGAGCTTGCCCGACACCCCCGCCATGGCCGACCTCAATCTCGCCACGTTGACGCAGGAGCAACTCGATCGTCTCGTGCGACAATTGGAGGATTCGGCGCTTGAAATCGCGACGCTCACGGCGGAACGTGACTCCGCTCGTCAACAGTCAACGGTGAATGCTTCGACAACATCCCACGCACCAACCAATGTTTCTGTACATTCGGAGGAGCCGATTGTCATCTCATCCGGCACACCAACGCAACACAACAGCACGGGACAGCGCTCAGGCGCAGCCAGTGACGGCGCAGCCCAACCGATGCCCGGCATGGGAGGGAACAGGAGCACGCTAAGCCCACGGGAGCCCCGAGAAGCCCGTCGGCACGTGGAGTTTGCGGCGACAAGTGGTGAAAACGCCATGATGGCCCCAATGCCACTCAAGCCGCAACGCCCGCCCTGCTTCGACCCAAGCCAACGCGCCGGCCCGACAGTTCAATCGTGGGTCTTCACGATGAATGTGTTTTTTGACGCCAACTACGTCGAGTCGGACGCCGCCAAGATTCGGTATGCGGTTTCACTACTCAGGGGCCCCGCCATGGACTGGTGGCGAGTCATCGTGACGTCGCCACGCGCCTACGAGCCACCGTCGCACGAGGAAGGGCCCTCGGGTCCAGCTGTCACCTGGAGTTCGTTCTGCGAAACAGCCCAATACAGCACGTGGGATGCGTGGTGCGCAGGGCTTCGGGCGCGTTTTGAGCCGATCGCGGCTTCGATTTCGGCGCGTCAGAAACTGCGCACTTGGCGCCAGCTCGGGTCGGTTCAAGACTACACCAGCGGTTTTCTCGCACTTTGCGAACAGGTCGGCTACATGCACGAGGCGGAGCGGGTGGACCGTTACGTCGGAGGGCTGAAGCCGGACATATCGCACGAGATAATGATACGCGGGCTATCGAATTTCAACGAAATCCTCGCACTCGCCGAGAAAATCGATATACTACGCCGACCGAGACCGGGGTCCTATTACGGACATCGTCCTCGGGGATCGATCGAGCACGCCACTGTACATGCCGTCGCAACGAATGCAGCTGCCACGCCATTTAGAGGGCGATGCTTTGCTTGCAACCGGCCGGGCCATCGCAAGAGCGAATGTCCAGAGGAGCTGAGGCGTCGAGGAGCAGAGCAGGGGAAGGAGTCTCAGAGGCAGGGAAACGCTAGCAGTCAGTAGAAGTTGGGCCAACTACTGACGAGACTGCCTGCTCGCCCAACCAAACCGACCCTCACCGAGTCACAGTACCGATTCACGCCATCGATCGGGCTCGGATGAATAAAGAGGGTACAGCGACGGATTGCCCGGTACTGATCTACGGGAAAATACAGGGAGCAGCAGTGAAAATCTTCATTGACGGAGGGGCAAGTCACAGCTTAGTTAATACTGCAACCGCACGGAGATTACAGTTAATACTTAACCGATGTTTACCTGAGATAGATGCACGCTTAGTCGACGGCACGCCATTGGCCATACGAGAAAAAGTGGAGCGAGTAAAAGTCCGTTGCGGGGGAAAATTCGGGTTTACACAGGAAATGCTCGCAACGACGCTGGATGGGCACGACATTTTACAGG